AGAGGAAACCCTGAACAGTAACAAGGAGCCATGGGTGTCCCCTTGTCTGCTACCAGCCTTGCCAAATCCCTCTCTGAGCTGTCCCGTCACTTTGCTCTCAATAAAGCTACCCTGCTACTTTGCACATCTATGATCCTTATTTTCAGTTTTAGGGCTAAGAGGTCAAGAACCTGCAAATGCCTGATCCTGACCACTGGCTGGAGTTGGAGCTGAGTTGGTAGGGTATTTGCCTAGCATGCAGGAGACACTGGGTTTGAATCTCAGCATTTTGTAAAATGGGTGTGTGTTACACACCTGTAATCCAGGTACTCAGAAGGTGGAGGCAGGAGGATCAGAAGTTCAAAGTCATCTTTGACTATAAGGCTGGATGTGGTGATGCACATCTTTATTCCCAGCACCTGAGAGGCAGAGGCATGCAGACTTCTAGAAATGAGTTCCAGGATAGCCTGGTCTACATAGCAGGTTCCAGATTAGCCAGGGCTACATAGTGAGACCCTGTCTAAAAACAAAACAACAACAAAAAACCCCGCAAAACTTGAAACATCCTTGGCTATAGTGAATTTAAGGCCAGCAAGGGGTACAAACAGGAGGAGGAGGAGGGAAGAAAGAAAGAAAGAAAGAAAGAAAGAAAGAAAGAAAGAAAGAAAGAAAGAAAGAAAGAAAGAAAAAGAAAGAGAGGGGGAGGGAGGGGTTGGAGAGATGGCTCAGCAGTTAAGAGCACTGACTGCCCTTCCAGAGGACCCAGGTTCAATTCCCAGCACCCACATGGCAGCTCACAACTGTCTGTAACACTAATTCTAGGTGATCCAACACCGTCTCACAGAATATATGCAGGCAAAACACCAGTGCACTAAATAAATGAATAAATCTTTTTAAGAAAGAAAGAAAAAAGACACCCCACCACCACCCAAATACAAGCTATAACACAATTTGCCTGCTCACCTGCTCATTCCTTGGTGGGCATCTGACTTATTTCCACCTTTGGGCTGAGAATAGAGCTGTCCTGAGCCTTGACAATCCTGTAATTGTGTGTGGAGGCATGTTTTCATTTCATTTCTCTTGGGCAGATAGCTAGAAGAGGAAATGCTGAGTCCTATAGTGATTCTGTAACCTTCTTAGGAAGTTGTTTTTTGTTTTTTTATTTTTTGTTTTGTTTTTTTGAGACAGGATCTCTATATAGACCAGGCTGACCTCAAACTCAGAGATCGGCCTGCCTCTGACTCCCCAGTGCTGGGATTAAAGGGGTGCATCATCATGCCCAGTGTCTTAGGAACTTTTAAGTTGAGACTCCCTCAAAAGAAGTGGGGCACAGCTGGAGAGATGGTTCAGTGGTTAAGAGCACTTGCTGTTAGCGGTTAAGATCCCGCCGGGCGGTGGTGGCCCAGCCTGGCGCTGGTAGCACACGCCTTTAATCCCAGCACTCGGGAGGCAGAGCCAGGTGGATCTCTGTGAGTTCAAGGCCAGCCTGGTCTACAGAGTGAGCTCCAGGAAAGGCACCAAAGCTACACGAGAAACAAACAAACAAACAAATCCCTTACTATTATTGCAGAGGAACTAGGTTCTGTTCGGTTCCCAGCGGGGACATGGTAGCTTACACATGTCTGTTACTCCAGTTCCAGGGCATCCCATACCCTCTTTGGCTTCCTCAGGCACTAAACTCACAAATGGTCCACAGATATACTTGCAAGCAAAGCACAAGTGCACAGAAAATAAAAAATGAATTGAAAAGGTACAAACAGGAAGAGGAGGAGGAAGAGGACTCAGCATTTCTGCTTCTAGCTATCCACCCAAGAGAAATGAAAACATGCCCACACAATTACATGCTTGTGAAGGCTCAGGACTACTCTGCTTACAGCCCCACCGTGGAAAGAAGTCAGATGCCCACCAAGGGATGAGCAGGCAAACTGTGCTATAGCTTGTATTTTGGCAGGAGGAGGTGCACCTGGTGCACATCTGTACATGTCGGCAAAATACTCATACTCATTCGATTAAAAATTAAAAGAATTAAAAATAACCACGAAATGTCCAATCCTGAACAGTACTAGTATATTAGCATATAAAACAAACCCTCAAACATTAGTTGAGTGCCTCAGCATCACCTCTTTGAGGAAACTGTGGCAACACTGACCAGTCTCTAAACAGATCAAAGAGTTTAAGCGTAGCTCCAGGCATGGCCGAACACACTGTGATGAACATGTGACCACGATGCTATGAAGCTGCTTGGCAGCAGAGGAAGGAGGATCACCTCAAGTTTGAAGCCAGTTTGGTCTACAACTTCCAGACTGGTCATGACGACATGGCTTTTCTCAAACAAAACAATAACCAGAACAGAAGCCCCGCTTCACTGCGTTCTGAAAACACCTTTCAGGGTCACAGAATTTCCTCTGTGTGGGGTAGTGACATACTGGAGCAGGCGCCATTTATTTCAAAAATACTTATTTATTGCTGGGCATGGTGGCACACATGCCTTTAATTCCATCACTCGGGAGACAGAGGCAGGTGGATCTCTGTGAGTTCGAGGCCAGTCTGGTCTACAGAGTGAGTTCCAGGACAGCTATGATTGTTAGACAGTGAAACCCTGTCTCACCCCTCCCCAAGTTGTGTGTGTGTGTGTGTGTGTGTGTGTGTGTGTGTGTGTGTGTGTGTCTGTGTGTCTGTGTGTGTGTGTGTGCATGTATGTGCCTCTGTGTGGCAGGGCATTGGGTGTCGGCCTCTAGCCTGCCTAGCTCTTCAAGGCAGGGCTCTAACTGATCTAGAGCTTGGGAGTCAGCAAGCCCAGTGGTCCTTTATCAGTGCTGGAGTTGCAGGCATTTGGGGACATCTGACTTGTCACATGGGTGCTGGGATCCCAATTCTAGTCTTCATGATTGTGGAGGAAGTGTTTTTAACCAGTTAGCCCTGGAGTTTATTTTATTTTATTTTTAAAATGATTTATTTATTTATATGCATTGCTGTTTTGCCTGCATGTATGTATGTCTGTGTGAGGGTGTCAAATTCCCAGGAACTGGAGTTACAGACTCTTGTGAGTTGCCATGTGGGTTCTGGAAATTGAACTGGGGTCCTCTGAAAGAGCAGACAGCGCTCTTAAGCTCTGAGCCATCTCTCCAGCTCTTTCTTGATTGATTGGTTGGTTGGGTTTTTTTTTTTCCGAAACAGGGTGTCTCTGCGTAGCCCTGGTTGTTATAGAACTCTATTTGTAGACTGGGCTGGCCTTGAACTCAGAGACTCACCTCCTGAGTGCTGTAACTAAAGGCATGTGCCACCATGCCCAGCTTAGCTCCTGAGTGTTTTGTTTGCTTTGGTTTGGTTTTTTGAGACAGGGTTTCTCTGTGTAACAGAGCCCTGGCTATCCTGGACTCCCTTTGTAGACCAGGCTGGCCTCGAACTCACAGAGCTCCGCCTGCCTCTGCCTCCCGAGTACTGGGATTTAAGGTGTGCACCACCACACCTGGGCAGCCCCTAAGTTTTTAACAAAATTCTGTTAGTTACACACACATGCATGCATGTGCACACACAAGCTTGTATATGTCAGAGAACATGGAGGGGGGGTTTCATCGTCTACTATGTGGGTTCCAGGGATTGAACTTATTCATTCGCTTAGCAGCAGGGCCACTGAGCCATCTTGCTGACCTTTTAGTTTATTTATGTATTTCATTATTTTTGTTTTTTGAGACTGGGTCTTGCTATGCAGTCTGGGCTGCCCTGGAACTTGTGACTATCCTGCCTTAAGCTCTCCAGGGCCGGGATTACAGTATGGAACACCACACTCAGTTTTCCAAATGTTGTTTCTTTAAGATTTATTTTATGTATATGAGTGCTTTGCTTGTAGGTATGTGTGTGCACCATGTGCATGCCTGGTGCCTCAAAAGTCAGAAGGGAGTTCTGTAAGCCATCATGTGGATGCTGGGAAATGAACTCTGGTCTTTTGGAAGAGAAGCCTGTGCTGAGCTCTGGGTCACCTCTCCAGTCCCCCCACCCCCATAGACTTTTTATCCTGCTGTAGGAATAAGGTGACTCCAGTTTCCTTTTCTCTGGCTAGACAGACGGCCATGCTGACCACCTCATAGGGTGGATGCTTCCGTGTACAACATCAGGCATGCAGTTCAGAAAGAAGAAGCTGTGTTGGAATCAGACTGACAGTGGGTTGTTGACCCTAGATTCTTCTTCTATGAGGTACGAGTAATAACAACACTTCACAGAGCCCCAGGAGATCACAGGGGTCACATATATAAGGACCTTGGCACACAGGAAGCTGTCAGCAAGAAACTCTCATCATGTCACAAAGCTGACTCTTCATAACGGTCCTTTTGAAGTCGTAAAAATGGTGAAAGTATCAGGGCGGCTGTGAACTTGAGATCAGCTGCGCTGAGCTCAAGGGTGTCCTCCACCATGCTCTGGTATTTGTAAAGCACCCACAGCACGCCTTATGCTCTTGTAGCAAGTGGTCTAATTAGCCTAATCTTAAAATCAGTCCTCAAGGCAGCTGTGATTCTTTTACAGTGAAGAAAGCAGGGAGGGTCGGACCCCGGGCTGTAGCTCAGTGGGTAGGGTGCTTGCCTAGGATGCATGAAGCCCGGGGATTCCATCCTCCAGCAACCGCATAAACCGCAGGAGATGGAGAAAGAAAGATCCGAAGTTCAGTTCCGGACTGGCCTGCGGTACCTGTCTCAAAAGCGAGGTGATTCATTAATTTTTTTTTAGAGATTTATTTATTTATTATGTATATGGAAGAGGGCACCAGATCTCATTACAGAGGGTTGTGAGCCACCATGTGGGTGCTGGGAATTGAACTCAGGACCTCTGGAAGAGCAGTCGGTGCTCTTAACCTCTGAGCCATCTCTCCAGCCCTGTGATTCATTAATTTGCCCGAAGAATTCAACAGAGACTATTCAGGGATATAAGGCAGACAGGTAGCCCCAGCATCATCGAGAGAATACCTTGTTTCTTCCTTGGAAGAAAGTGAGAGCGCCAGGCTGCGGAGCAGAAGGGGTTATTCCCACTGAGACGCGGGCGCTCGGCTCCTAGAGCGGCCAGCCGGGCGGGAGGAGCGCGGCTTCCCGGGGCCGGGCGGGCGGGAGGAGCGCGGCTTCCCGGGGCCGGGCGGGCGGGCGGGAGGAGCGCGGCTTCCCGGGGCCGGCCGGGCGGGCGGGAGGAGCGCGGCTTCCCGGGGCCGGGCGGGCGGGAGGAGCGCGGCTTCCCGGGGCCGGGCGGGCGGGAGGAGCGCGGCTTCCCGGGGCCGGGCGGGCGGGCGGGAGGAGCGCGGCCTCCCCGGGCCGGCCGGGCGGGAGGAGCGCGGCTTCCCGGGGCCTGCCGGGCGGCCGGGCGGGAGGAGCGCGGCTTCCCGGGGCCTGCCGGGCGGCCGGGCGGGAGGAGCGCGGCTTCCCGGGGCCAGCCGGGCGGGCGGGAGGAGCGCGGCTTCCCCGGGCCAGCCGGGCGGGCGGGAGGAGCGCGGCTTCCCGGGACCGGGCGGGCGGGAGGAGCGCGGCTTCCCCGGGCCAGCCGGGCGGGCGGGCGGGCGGGAGGAGCGCGGCTTCCCGGGGCCAGCCGGGCGGGCGGGAGGAGCGCGGCTTCCCGGGGCCGGGCGGGCGGGAGGAGCGCGGCTTCCCCGGGCCAGCCGGGCGGGCGGGAGGAGCGCGGCTTCCCGGGCCAGCCGGGCGGGAGGAGCGCGGCTTCCCGGGGCCAGCCGGGCGGGCGGGAGGAGCGCGGCTTCCCGGGGCCGGGCGGGCGGGAGGAGCGCGGCTTCCCGGGGCCAGCCGGGCGGGCGGGAGGAGCGCGGCTTCCCGGGGCCAGCCGGGCGGGCGGGCGGGAGGAGCGCGGCTTCCCGGGACCAGCCGGGCGGGCGGGAGGAGCGCGGCTTCCCGGGGCGGGATCTTGGGTTCCGACCGCCACAGCGAGGGACCGCGGGGCTCCAGACGGGAGGCCTCGGGCCGGTTCCGGAGGGAGGGCCGGGCGCTCCAGTCCTCTGCTCACCCTTGCTGCCATCTCTGAGCTTTGGGAGCCGCTCCCTGGGGCCTTTCCTGGGTCAGCCAGAGACGGAGGTGGTCCCGGCCTGGTGGCTGTAAGGTTTGATTCTTGGCATGGCTGAGGTCACTCATCCAGAAAGTGGAGGAGCCAAGCCCGGGTCCGGACATTTAGCTCAGGGTCTCATTATCTCTCCGCATCGTGGGGAGTTAGTGTGGTCACTTTTTCTAAGGAGGCTGGTGGCCCTTCTTCTCAGAAGAGATAGCTTTGTTTGTTTGTTTTTGTTTGTAAGACAGGCACTACTTGCTATGTAGCCAAGGCTTCTACCACAGATTCCCACGTGCTGGACTTAGAGATTCCTGTTCATTCATATCCAAATTTAAGCTGTCTTACCCGCCTGCCAGTCAGCCACTTCTGGGTTTCCACTATACAATCATCGCCTTCATCCAACTTCCCAGGCCTCCCCTTCATCAGCTCTTGACAAACCAGTGCCACTTGCGGTCTTGGCTGTTTCTACCGTTACCTCATAGAGACTCCAGACGGACTCTTCGGCCTGTCCACAGAACTTTGGGACCACTGTGTGGTCACTGTCTGAATTCAGACCCAAGCCCTTCAGCTTGGCATTCAACTGCAGTTTGAGATGTGGCTCCAGCCACAGGTTGCTCAGTGCAATTCAGAAATGGGTTTCACCCCAGGACAGTTATAGAGGGAAGTGGCCTCAACATTTGTCGCCATCGCAACCAAGAACAGACAACTGAGAGTGACCTGACAGACATCTGCATTCTCCATTTGGCTGGTTCCAAATTCTGCAGAATATGTGTTCTTCTCAGCTGCCCTTAGAACTTCCTCTAAAATAAATTACTGTTAGGACACAAGTAAGCCTTACAAGGATGGGAAAATTGAAATAATTGCTTGCATTCTACCTGATCATCATAGACATCAAACCAACTAAAGACCCTACAATATAAGCCTCATGAGGTTAAACAGCGCAATACCGAGTGAGCATGGCTTCTTCAAAAAGTCAGGAAGGGATTCTAGAAATGAATGAAAATGAAAACACAGTAGATCCCGTGAGTCACAGTGAAAGTGGCGGGAAGAGGGGCATCTGTGGTAGTAGTTGTTTAAGGAATTAACGGATAACTCAAATAAATAATGATACATACCGTAGGGCTTTGGAAACAAGCCAAACTGAGGCTCAGTAGGTAGAAAGAAATAATTAAGATCAGGGGAGAAATTAATGATGTTTGAATAATATGATGAATGAAAAAAAATATAAAGAATGAAAGAGTTTCTTCTTAGAAAAAAAATAAGCATGGTGGCTGGGCAGTTGTGGCACAGACCTTTAATTCTGACACTAGGGAAGCAGAGGCAGGTGTATCTCTGAGTTAAGGCCAGCCTGATCTCCAGAGCAAGTTCCAGAACAGCCAGGGCTACACAGAGAGACCTTATCTTGAAAAATTAAAAAAAAAAAAAAAAAAGAACCAATTTTCACAAATTGTCACCAGAACTCCACATGCAAGCTCCGACATGCATGCATCCGCTCACACACACACAAATATAATATTAAAATGAAGAATGTTGATTTATTTATTTAGATATGTGTCTATATATGTGTATGTGTGAGTGTATATACACATATGTCTAAGTGTATTTGTAGAGGCCAAAAGAGGGTGTGGGGCGTCTACCTTTGTCACCCTCCACCCATTGTTTTGAGGTGGGGTTGTTCCCTCAATGCAGGGCTTGCATTTTTCTCAGATAAACAGGAAGTTAGGCAGCCCCACAGACCCTCCTGTCTCTGTTCTAAAAACTAGGGTTACAGATGTGTGCTGGATGCCAGATTTGTACACAGGTCCAGGGACCTGAATTCTAGGCATCATGATGTGCAGCAGATGCTCTCAACTGCTGAGCCATCTCTCCCGCCCCAAAGACAAACAATTTAAATACATCTATAACAAGTAATGAAACTAAAGCAATAATTAAAAAACTCGCAAATAAAAAAGTCCAGGCCAGCCAGGTGGTGGCGGCACATGCCTTTAATCCCAGCACTCGGGAGGCAGAGGCAGGCAGATCTCTGTGAGTTCAAGGCCAGCCTGGTCTACAGGTCGAGTTCCAGGACAGTCAGGGCTACACAGAGAAACCCTGTCTCGAAAAACAAAAAACAAAAAAGTCCAGGCCAAGCAAGAGTAACAGCAAGCAGCTTTGGAACTCATGGAAAACAGCTCAGTTAGCACAATCACAATGGGTGGGCCTTGGAGAGGCAGAGCCTGGAGGACTACATTTCCTGAGGACCCCATGCTGTTATTGAGCACAGCTCTGTTTATTGCTCTCAAGGTCACCACGTCCCTCATAATCTTTAAGTCCTATGAAAATTCTTTTTTTTTTTTTTTTTTTTGGTTTTTCGAGACAGGGTTTCTCTGTGTAGCTTTGCGCCTTTCCTGGGACTCACTTGGTAGCCCAGGCTGGCCTCGAACTCACAGAGATCCGCCTGGCTCTGCCTCCCGAGTGCTGGGATTAAAGGCGTGCGCCACCACCGCCCGGCTGAAAATTCTAAAGGGGTTTCTAGTCCTCACTGGCCAGTGTTACTGGTACTTACAATAACAGTGATTGACTTTTTCTAATCATTGCTGCTGGAGCAGATTAATGATTCAACCACCACCCTTAGAAAGAATTCAGAGATGTAGATTGTTAGTAAACAGGTTAAGATGTTGTTGTTAGTGGCTTTGAAGTAGAAACTCTTGGGCAGCAATTTAAAGTCTAGAAAGGCACACCTTTGTTAGTTGAGCGAGGGACTCACTGAGGTCAGGGAACAGGAACAATGGCGGCCTGGCTATTACTGGCTTATGTGCCTTTCTTGCTAGGATGGGTTGGTGATCAAAGGCGATGATTAATTCCTTCTACCCACTTTTGTCCTCAGCTTCCTGATATGATTTAATAAAAAGTTGTTGATGAGTAGGTGTGCACTCTGGGACTTAAAGTAGAAATGACTGGTTGTTTTTTTATATATAAAAATTTAGATTTGTGATTATTTAAGATCTTTTATAAAATCACCTTTTGAAATAAATAATAAAATGATTGATCTTTTCTTTGTAAATGCAAAATGCAGCCTGCCAGTAAAGGAACTGGCTGAGAAAAATACCTTGCTTGCTTATACTTTGTTATAACAAATTCCCTAGACATGAATGTATGTTAGCCTTGGAGATAAATTTTCACCTGTTGTAGTGATATATTGTGTACCCTAATAAAATTTGCCTGAAGATCAGAGAACAGAACAAGCCACTAGATTAAACATAGAGGCCAGGCAGTGGTGGCACACACCTTTAATCTTAGCACTTAGGAGGCAGAGATCCATCTGGATCTCTGAGTTCAAAGCTATCCTGGACTACTTGAGATTCAGTCTAGAAGAGAAAGAGAGCCAGGTAGTGGTGGCACACACCTTTAATCCCAGTACTTAGGAGTCATATGCCTTTAATCCCAGTACTGGGAAGCACACACGCCTTTAATGGCTGAGCAGAGAAAGGTATATAAGGCGTGAGGAGACAGGAATTAAAGACCTTTTGACTGAGGAAGACCTTTGGCTAGAGGCCTTTTGGCTAGGCTCGTTCAGCTGAAACCTTTTGGCTGAGAGGATCCCTTTCGGCTGAGAACTCAGAGACATTCAAACAGAGGATTTGTGGAACTGGTGAGGTGAAATGTGGCAGTGCCTTGTTCCTTTGTCTCTCTGTCTTTTAGCACTTATCCCAATATCTGACTCCTGGTTTTTATTATTAAGACCAATTAGAATTTGCACTACAACCTGTAATTCGTAAAATGTTTAATCATGTAAGGGAAATGAGAAACATGCTATTTTTTACTTGTATTCATTGTAATCATTCACTTAAAAATAGAATGTAACCAGGCATTATAATTTTTATATTGCTTGAAAGATTGGGATGGGGTATATAAGCTGTAGGGGAAAAAATAAAGCAAGAGAGACCCTGACATGTTGAAGGTGTGTGTGTGTGTGTGTGTGTGTGTGTGTGTGTGTGTGTGTGTGTGTGTGTGTGTTTTCCCCTTTCTTTGCCAGCCCTAGAGAATTAAGTTTTGCCCCACTTGCAGGCTCCAAAGAATTAAGTTTTGGTCCCTCAGAGAAAAAAGCCTGTTGTGTGGGAGCCGATGACTCCACCTCTCCTCTCCAGTGTCTGAGCTGCTGAGGGCACAGGCCCAAGTGAATTTATTACTGAATTCCCAAGACCTTTAAAAATATGAACATCAGCCGGGCGGTGGTGGCACACGCCTTTAATCCCAGCACTCGGGAGGCAGAGCCAGGCGGATCTCTGTGAGTTCGAGGCCAGCCTGGGCTACCATGTAAGTCCCAGGAAAGGCGCAAAGCTACACAGAGAAACCCTGTCTCGAAAAAAAAAAAAAAAAAATGAACATCAATAGGAAAGAAAGGACAACTACTTACCAAACTTAAGAAAGAAAAAAAGAAATGTGTGTTTGCCTGCCTGTGTGTCTGTGCATCACACACGTGCAATGTCTGTGTGGTGGCCAGGAGAGGGCATCCATTCCCCTGGAACTGGAGTTACAGACAGTTGTGAGCCACCATGTGGGTGCTGGGAATTGAAACCAGGTTCTCTGGACCAGCAGCCAGTGCTCTTAACTGATAAGCCATCTCTCCGGCCCAGCTAACAAATTCTTTATAAAGCCAATATTACCCCATGCCCAAACCAGACAAAAACACAACAGAAATTATAGACCAATCTTCCTGATGAACACTGATACAAAAATTGTTAATAAAATACTTGCAAACCAAGTTTAAGAACGTATTTTTAAAAAAACCATTCTTGGGGCTGGAGGGATGGCTTAGCAGTTAAGAGTGCTTGCTGCTCTTCCAGTATTTGGTTCCTAGAACCCGTTTTTGGGAAGCATACCACCACCTGTAACTTCAATTTCAAGAGATCCAACTCCTCATGGCCTCTGTGGACACCTGTGCACACATCTGGCATACATTCACACAGACATACACATACATGTAAATAAAATAAAAATCTTTAAAAAAATCATTTGATACTATAAA